AGAGTACCAATTAGTCCATACCAATTGTCCAACTTTTTGATTATAGCCATCTTAGTAGGTGTGTAAGAGTAACTTACTGGAGTCACTCTTTGCATTTTCCTAATGACTAATGATGCTGAGCATCTTTTCATGTGCCTACTGGTCATTTCTGTGTCTTCTTTGGAGAAATATCTACTTAAATCCCATTTTTTACTGATACCAGGAATGAAAAATGGGATATTGCTACAGATCCTACCACCAATTAAAGGATAGTAGGAAATGTTATGAATAACTTCATGTCTAAGTTTGAGAAATGGATAAATGCAATGAAAATGCAACTTCCTAAAACTGACATAAGAAGTAACAGATATGAATAGCCCCATAATGTATAAATAATAGAGATTTCTACTTTAAAACAATTTTCTCACAAAGTAAAACTTGTCTAGTTTCATTGGTGAATTATAAATTCCTTCTTTGGAGAAATCACTGCCTACAAAGTTTATTCCTATTGTCTTTAACTTTAGTGCTGACATTTAGGTCTCTGATTCATTCCTACTTATTTTTCTGTATGAGTCAATTTCATTCTCTTACATGGGGATATCCAACTTGGCCTAGCACCATCTTTTAAAAAAACTGTTCTCCTCACTAAACTGTCTTGACACCCATACACACACAAAAAAAGTCAACTGCCCATAAATATATGTGTTGTTATCTGGACTCTTACCTATATTCTTAATCTGTATGTCTACTGTTATGCCAGTATCACACAGTTTTGTTTACTGTAGCTTTGAAACCAAGAAACATGAGTCTAATCATTGTTTCTTAATAATATTTTTTTTGCTCATTCTCTTTTTTCTCCTTCTAGGACTCCAATTACATGTACGTATATAGACTGCTTGATATTATCCTAAAGGTCACTGGGACCATGTCCCTCCCACCCTACCCCTCCATTTTCTTCTCTCAGTTCTTCACATTAGATCATTTCTATGGATCTGTCTTCAAGTTCACAGAGCCTTTCCTGTGCCATCTCTAATTCACTGGTAAGCCCATCAAGTGAATTTTTCATTTCAGATATCGTTCTTTTCAGTTCTACAATTTTGTGATCGTATTTTAAGTCATTGAGTTTTTAACAGTTGCTTTAATTCATTTTTTGCTAATTCCAAATGTGGGTTATCTCAGGGTCAGTTTCTATCAGCAGCATTTCTTCCTCCTGATATGGTTCAAGTTTTCCTGCTTATTTACATTCTAGTAATAGTTGATTATGTGATAGATATTGTGAATACTGTCTTTCTTGTTGAGTTTTATTGTGCCTGGTGCCTCTCCATGATCCTAAAAGGCTTAATTTTAGACTATCTTAGCGAAGATCCTGAGCAACCTTTATTCTATAATAGGAGTTGGCCAACTTTTTCAGTAAAGGGCTAGACAGTAACTGTACTAGACATGTGGGACACAGAGTGTCTATACTAAGTGTTCAACTCTGCAGTTGTAGCCCAAAAGCAATATATATACAATTTAGCATGGATGGCTGAACTTTATACAACTTATACTTATGGTCACTAGAATTTATAGTCCATATAATTCTCATGTGTCACAAAATATTATTTTTCTTTTGATTTTTTTCAGCCATTAAAAAGGATAAAAACCATCCTTAGATCACAGGCCATACAAAAACAGCCAGTGGGCCAGATCTTAAATCCCATTGCTCTGAACACTGCTCTGAAGTATGCTCCTTACTCCTACAACTTGCCCGTTCTGGTGTCTCAGATAAATTCCCAATATGTTAACTCTCTCTCTCTCCTGTGGATGGGCTGGGATCCAACATGTGCAGGAATCATGGGATTTGTCCACTCTTAATCCCCTAACATGTACTCAGTACTAGTCCTTGAGGAGTATCACTTATGCATGTGTAGCCCTGCTCTCAGCCAAGTACCCTTGGGCAACTCACACTTATACATCTGATCCCTCTGCAGTACCCTGTTTAGCAAGTTCTAGTGGCTTCAGCAGTTCAGAACCCCATCTCCACATCCTTAGCTCAATAGAATTTCCAGGCTCTGGTTGAATCCGCCTCCCCATGACACAGGAACTGCCCTGCAGTACAACTGGGCTGGATGTGGGGTTCAGCTTGTTTGTTCTATTTCTCCCTAATGTCCAGTACCTGAAAAGGTTCTACTGCATATATTTTGTCCAGTCTTACAGCTGTTTATGGCTGGAAAAAAATCCAATCCAGTTACTCTCTCATAGCTGAAAGTAGACATTAACCTCAACAAATATTTGATGAATAAATTAATGACTAAACAAACCATATTTCATAAAACTCTAAGTACATGTGACTATCCATAATCTCTGCCTCCTAGATTGTGGGCAGGACCTGCAACTTGCATTCACCAAAAGAATGTGGTAAAAGTCATATATTACTTCTGTGACTAACTCACATTATATAAAACTCCAGTCTTGCTCACATTATATAAAACTCCAGTCTTGCTAACAGACTAACTCTAGAGGCTCTTTTTGTTGACCCATGAAATAAGCTGAAATGTTAGAAAGTCCACATGGCAAGGAACTGTAAGCAGCCTTTAGGTGCTGAGTGCAGCCTCTAACTGACAGTCAGCAAGATCTGTCCCTCATTCCTACAATCACAATGAATTCTGCCAGCTACCTGAGTGAGCTTGGAAACAGATCCTCAAATCTCCAGGCAAGAAAGTAGCCCAGCCAACACCCTGTAGTGTTGTGAGATGCTAAGCACAAGATCCAGGCAAGCCTGACGCACAGTTTCTGTCTTAATGTTTGTTGTCTTAAGCTGCTACTTGTGTGGTGATCTGTCACACAGCAAGAGATAACTAATATCACACACTACTGACAGATACTATAAAACAGCCACCAATATTTAGAACTGGGAAGTACAGGTACCAGAATCACAGGGGAAGACTATGAAATGTACTCAGAACAAGGGACACTACCTCAGACCACAAATCTCATCAAAAAACTCTTTTAAGAATAATAAAACTGTCAAGCTCATGGTAGCAGATACAAGTTTTCCAAAATTCTAATTTTCACTTGAAAGTTCAAATTTTGTGACTGGCAACAAATACTACCCGTTATTTTACTGGCAATGCGAGGCTCATTTTGTTTATTGTCAAGAAACTGTCTGATAAATACCCAAGTCTAAATAACCACCATTTGTCTATCAGTCACTCTTTTAAATAAAAATTGGTGTTTCATGAAAAAGTGGCTTGTTCAGCTTGCAACTCAAATAAGGGCCAAGTGCTTTTCCTTAGAACAACCGTAATATTTGGCATACAGTGAAAGTTTTATGTATACTTCCTATTTCAGCACACAGAAGACTTTTAAAAAATGTACTTAAAAGTCAAGATTAATAATAGTTAATAATTTGTACTGCTTCAGCCAGAACAGTCAGTGTGTGGCAGTGGAGAATACTAGTGGTTTGTGTACTGCCTTGCTTTGTGCTAAGGTGCCAACAGTTTTACCCAGTAACACTTTTACTGATCCGTATGAATGAAAACACAGTGGAAAGGTCAAACAACATTTTAATATTATTAAGGAAATAGATTTGACCTCATGAATACCTTGACGGGATTTTGGAAACTGCCATGGGTTCGCAATACCCTTTCAGAAGCATTATACTATACCAATCCTAACAATTCTGAGCCTTTCCTATCATTACTGCAACCAATGATTCCTATCATTCAATCAATAATTACATAGGGCTTAGTATGCAGTGCCAGGCAGGTACCATGAAATGTCTGAGTGTCTCTGTACCATTCACTCATACATACCAAGCTCCTGGAACAGTCCTGGAGGGCACACAGCAGACTCTCAATATTCATTGAATGAATGAATAAACAAGTAGCCATGATATATTTTAACATAAATTTCAAAGTCTTTTAGAGTGTATTCTACACATACATACACACACACACACCACTGACATTATTTTTGGCATAGTGGGCATGACTTGTTAGGAAATACGGGACTTCTACTCACTATGCTAGGAATAGCTTTATCATTCAAGCATAATAAAGTTTATTTGTTCTGTACATAGACGTGAGTTTCACTTTGCATGGTACCATGGAAAACAAAACTCATGTATATGAGAACCATGTCGTCATTCTGTATGGTTCTGTGGCAATTAAATTCTTTGGTAACATGGTACTATGCAAAGCACATTAGTGCAAATAAAAGAGAAATAAATTCCAATGACTCATGAATTCAATTTCAGAAGACAGGAAGGAAAACATCTTAAAAAGAATGAGATAGCCTCCTTTGGACAGCAACTTTGAATGTGTCCCTTATGGGAAAGCAAATCAAACACCTAAATGAATTTTCAAACTCAACATGCTTCCTTCCCATTATCCACTGCCATTTCAGAATTAGTGCCTACTAATCAAATAATGGAGGCGGTTCAATCCTGCAGGGGTGTTTTTGAGTTCTGGAAGGGTTGGGGGTAGATGAAGATGGAGAATTAGGGTTGTTAGGAGGAAAGAGGGACCAGCACTTTATAAAAGAGCCAAAATGAGATTACAATAAATCTAGTCTGGTCTCTTTAAAACTAGAGGAATTAATATTTCTCAAAACAGAATTAGATTAATTCTTTAGACTTCTATGTCCTTACCCTTCTCTTAATTCAATCAAGGAGGCCTTATAGTTACCCAGTTTTAAGTTTTTTTCTTTCCCTACTCCCATGCCCACATCTACAATGAGGACTTTTTCCTTCCAATTTTTGAGATTTTTTTTAAATGAATGTAAATATCCCAAAATATTATAAATTTTAAAGGGTGTTTGGCTCCAACAAGAATAGGTATTTATACATTAAATGTTTAAATGGTTCTGCCAAGCGTTAGGAAGAAATGGAAAGGTATTTTATAGATAAACACTAATGGCAACTTAGCAATTAATAAGTGCCATAGGAAAAGCAATAAAGAGCACTTAAAAAATATTCTATCCTAAGTCTATTTACTAAGTACCATGAGTGGGACAAATGGGAAATGCTATTTAAACTATACCTTAAAATGTACTGTGATGTTCCAAGGAAGAGCTGAACTTGATGCAAGAAGATCAAATAGCAAACCAATTGGATAATGCCTAAAAATGAAAGAGTATATTTTAAGAAAGAATAAATACTTAAAGTTATAACTACAACTCAAAAATAAATTTCCAGCATGTTTTAACATCAGTATCAGGGGACTTGAACCACGTTATCACAGAAAGGTGACATTTTACACTGTTTCTTGCCTGGGCTGATATGGTATAATTTTCAGGCCATCAGGTGGTTTGTCTTCTGATCATTTCATTCCTCAATGTATATCAAGAGAGTGTGCTAAGGCATCTTTTATCAGCCATGAGCACTATTATGTTATGCTACTGCACTACCTAATTATCATCCTAGTATTTATGTTGGCCAATCGGTGTCTTAAAACTTATTTAAATATATTTTCAATTTTTAAAACAAAATTTTAGGAACTGAAAAGAGCAGCAGAAAGAACATGCAATTGCCTATTTTGTGGTTATTACTATAATATTAACATTATAGCATATAAATTTCCAGTCTTTTACTTAGCATACATATCTAAATATAGATTAGGCTTTTCGTTTCCAAACTGCTACATTCTCCTTTTTCTCATATGACAATATGTCAAAATTTTCTAAAATCACTGACTAGTCTTTTGCAACCTAATTCCAAAATTGCATAAATAAATAAGTAAATTTTGGGCCCTGACTGGCATGGCTCAGTGGGTTGGGCATCATCCCGCACACCAGGTTGCTGATTCAATTCCTGGTCAGGGTACATGCCTGGGTTGCGGGACAAGTCCCTAGCAGGGGGCATGTGCAAGGCAGCCAATGACACTGGATGTGCAATCGCACATCGATGTTTTTCTCCTTCTCATTCTCCCTCTCTTCCCTTCTCTCTAAAATAAATAAATAAATTGAACTACCTAAATAAGAGAAGGTTTTGTAAAATAACCCTTATTCACAGTGAAGCAAATTATTTAGCAATAAGAAAAATAATACAAACTTCGCAAATTTCAATGGACAAACCTTATTTTTTTAATCACCCTTTTAAAGAATCTGAAGTAGCTTAATCAGTAAATCATACTTAAATTATACTCCTGACAAAGGCAAAAGGGAGGACTGCTTGGTGTTGTGTAGTCAGTCCCACTGTTTCCCATATATTAGTGAATTGCCCCTAGATTTAAGAGCTAAAAAATTTGAAAATACATCTTATTTCCCTCAAAATGAGTGACCCAATACATTATCTCACCAAGATTCAATCGTTAGCTGATACTACTTGTTTGTTTATGTCTACATAATATAGTTGTGGAAAAGTCTTTAGAGATTATATATTTACTTAAAATGAATTTGGGATGAATGCCCTGCTAGTAAAACAAAACAGTGGGTAGCTTTAGTCACATGGGTTGTATTTCTTAGTAATAACTTCTAAACTTTCTGTTTGAAAGTCAGCATCTACTGCAAATCTTTCATATATAGAGATGAATACTGAAGGAAATCCTGGACTACGTAAATAGTAATAGGATGGTTCCTTTCAGGATATTCTGATGCCAGAAAAAACTGGCCTCAATCAAAACCTAAAATAAAAACAATTAAAAAAACAAAAATACTGCACTAGAGACAAGTTACAGATTCTATCCTATTCTGGTTCTTCACTCTGAATTCTTAAATTGTATACACTCCACATAATGCCTTGTACCTTTACAAAAGAGACCTTTTTTATTCTTTTTTTTTCCAAAGACTGTTCCTCTTAGGTGTCTACAACTAAGTTAAGAAAGAATATGGCTGTTTAAGCTAACAGAATATAGTGCTTTCCAAATTCTACACAGTCCCGCGCATAATAATTATACCATCCCTTTAGCAAAATAAGCAATTGACCTATTGGATAGATTCACCAGTGATCCCCTAAAATGGCTAACAATCCAATGTTGTGCACTTTCTCTGCCATTCACAATGAAACTGTATGCAAATTCTAAAGTTAAATATTATCCTAAAGCAACTGATGTCATATAAAATAAAACATAACTTTTTAAATAAACAGTAAGTACTTGGGTCAGAATACAAGTTAACCACAAGAAGATTCATAATCATTATTATTTTTACCCACAACATTTAAAAATATGACTATAAGTGCACAGAATCTTGAACAAAGTAGATTATAAATAGTTGTGAATGCATAAATCAAAAAGTCACAAAATAGTGAACACTTCATATACCGTGAAGATCTAACGGACCCAATTTCAGGTTCCAAATTTTTTTTTCTGAGATTTATTTTAGGTTTGACACTTTGTAACTTTGATTCTTTCTTAAAAGATCTTCCAAAAGCCACAGAGAACACTCATTCAAATTAAGAAAAAAAAAAAAAAAAGATGAACACTCAGTCCATCTAGTAATTTCCATATGGATCCACTGGACCCTCTTATAAATCTATAATATATTATGGGATCTTGGTGATCTCATTCTCTCCCTCTGTCTTGAAACATTTCGCTATTTCATCAGTCTTGGAATTATTTCATCATTACTTAGCAATTACTCCCAACTACGCTAAAAAAGACTAACACAGTAAGAATTTGGAAGATAAATGACATGCCTAGAAGGATGATATAATAATGCATCCTTTTTCCATTTTCTTACTGTGTCACCTAAAATATTATAAAAATATAAAAATTTTTTAAAAGGATGCAGAATCCATCTTTGGAGTCTGCTTTTAGCTATCATTAATACAGCTGAAAATTCAAAATGTTATATTTTCCACCTATAATAGGAAAGAGAAGTAAACTGAGATGTTACACAATTACTAGACGAATAAGAAGGTTTTTGCAGAGACAGCAATACCTTAGATTTTAATGACAATGGTAACACTGATCAATTCAGTGAAATCTCAGACTATGAGTCTTTAGATGATATACTAGATAAATTTTATGGAACTCAGGAACTAATAAAAATAAATAAATAATATATTTCTAAGGACATATGACATTCTTATCCACTTAGTCATTCAACAGAAAGGTCTACTTGAATGTACAACAACGAATGAGCAAGTTAGTCACATTCAGAGGATGTTGCCCACTTCAGGTGTATATAAATTCAAAACCAGGAAAATATGAAGTGAAAATATAAATGTGTTTTATTTAAATGCTTATTAAAATTTCTAATAAAGTTTTTATACACTATTTCTTTATTTGTACTGCTCTAAGTTACTTACAAAATGACAAATATATACCAAGGATTAGGGTGGAAATTTAAATATTATGGTTTCTAAAACATATTAAATACATATAAAGTATTAATATTAAAAAAGCATTCTAAAAATATAAAAACTTAGGAGTAAAATATTTATTTATTTCTACTGTCATATTATATGGCTCAATGCAGATGTTTATGTCAGAATGATTTTGATGCAAAGGCACTAACTCCAAAGAAATACACTATCTTAACTAGTTCTAAGATTGCTTGTTTCTAAAGAACCTATTAACATGGAAGAAAATCTCTAAAAGAAAAGTAGAAAAAATTAAAGATACTGAATTTCTCTTATACTATATAATCTGATTTATATAAAAGATTTCAAACTTACTAATTGCACAGCTCCTCTAAACAGATATTCTACAGAGTTTTGTCAGGAGATTCCTAACCGACAACATAGAAACCACATAAACTGTAACTGTAAGTAAATAATAATGTAGCCATTTGGCTGTTATGCTGTTACTCCTACCAACATAACTTAAATTTAATAGCAAATGAAGTGGTGAGGATCTGAACCTGGAATATATCCCAGAAGAGGCTCCAACTAGCTAGGGTTCAATCTCCTGCTCTAAAAAATTGATTGCACCAGAATACTCAGTGTTATGTCTATTTTCACATTTTGTCCCTTTTCTTTCTCTTCCTTAAATTGCTCTAGTCTTTTCTAAATTCAATTCTAAAAATGAGTATTTTCATTTTTCTTTGCATAATGTTGTTTCTTTTTTACCCTTTCGTTAGTGCTAAAATACAGGGTAAGGTAGAAGTAAGGCTTACTTGAGTGTAGTTGGTAGGGTACGTGAAAAACTCGCACAAGATGGACAGCAATTTCAACATTTCACCTAAAATGTCATATGGTGTGCTTGAATGTGATATTGTTATGTTACAGTATTACATGCTTATGGTTTTATAATAAAAAGGGGGCATTATCTGTGCTGGACCCTGTATATATGTACAAGTGGCACACAGCACAGCAATAATGGATATGCTCTGAGGACAGCTAAGGGTATTCATTCTAAACAGCGGCAGTCAGACAGCAAACCAGTATGCCAAGTCCAACATTGAAAGGAATTGTCTCCACGCTATTGTTCCACTCCATTTCACTGAAATAAATGCATCCTATTCATAAGTTTGCTACTCAAATAATTTAATAATTCAATTAGTTTTTCCTTACCCACCTATGGTACAAACAACTATAGTCTAGCACTGTGTTTTGCACCTTTCTCTTTTTTAAAAAAGACTTTATTTATTTTTAGAGAGAGAGGAAGGGAGGGAGAAAGGGAGGAAGAGAAACATCGATGTATGAGAGAAACTCGATCGGTTGCCTCTCGCATGCCTCCAACTGGGGACCTGGCCCACAACCCAGGCATGTGTCCTGACTGGGAATCAAGCCAGATACCTTTCAGTTTGTGGGATGACTCCCAACCCACTGAGCCACACCAGTCAGGGCAGTTTTACATCTTTCTAAGCCTATTCTTATGTACAAAAAAGTATCAAAATAATCAGTAACCAAGGGACTGCTACATGTGAAAAGTGCTAAATAAACCACATTTCAAAAATCTAGTTTACAGAGTAATTTTTAAAATTCTAGAAATTTACTTTAGAAAAAGTTAGAGTGAAAAAAGAGCCTGCACAGTATTTATGATTAAGATGTTAAAGTTTTAATTTTATTAAAATTTACTTTTGATATCACATAGTACAGTGTTAAATTCTGGGTCACTCTACTGTCTGTGCAAATAACAATAAATATTTGGGTTTTTTAATTCAATTAAAAAGTAGTTTCAACTTCTCACTTTCAACAAGTCCTGAAAATAAGTCAATTTACACAAGTAAAATCCCATTAGAGATAACTTCTTTTATAGTTGACAAAAAGCAGCTTTTCTAAGTTGTGTACCTGAAGGCCTAAGATCTAAACCAATTACCAGGGTATACTACCCAAAGTATTCTTTAGAAGGACCAACAACTGTTCTCTTAAAATAAGTCTAACATAAAAGTAACAAATATAAACTTGGAACACATGTGTTACGGTTAACAAAAAAACTGCACTCCTTAAAAAGGCAATGTTAGAGCACCCTCTGCTGACTAATCAACTCACATCACTCTAAAAAAAAAAAAAAAAAAGAGATCCTTACACGTGAGTTAGATGAGCACTTTCCATTTCCCAGGTAATTTTAAAAAGTTAAATAGACAAAAGATTGTAGAAGATAAAGCACTAATTAGATAAAACCTCCTTGGACTTTCTCTACAAATCAACAATATACTAAGTATTAATTACAAGTATGACACTGCTCTTAAATGTTTTTCTATTCTAATACAGAAAATTAACATAAGCAATAGAAAGAAAAGAAACAGAATTGGGGAAGAAAACAACTCACAAATAGAGTATCAGCAGGCATGGTGGGAAGAGCGCTGAACTAAGACTCTCAAAATCTGGTCCTACTTATTTATTTAGACAAGTTATTTTATTTATTTTAGCCTCAGTTTTCTCAATAAAAGAGACTAATTTAGATTAATTCACTCCTTGAATAAATATTGACTTAGCATCTTTTACATGCTACTACTTAAGGTACAAAGCCCCAGCTTAGGCATCTCACACAGATATTTAAATAAATTATAATAACAATAAATACAAATAAGAAAAGGAGTTACAGAGTGAAAAGGAGTATCAATACCTGCTTTCTTCCTTCTTTTTTTTTTTAAGGAATTGTCTAAACTGGTGTTTGATTTCCTTTCTCATTTTAATTTATTTAAAACTCCAAAGAATCAAGTGTAAGAAAGATGCTATCATCCTATTCAAATAATTGCTCCTTAACTTATTTAAGTACTTATATGGTCTCAAAGCCCAAGTCCTACAAAGCTTCAATAGTAGCTGCTCCACGATTATCCTATCCTATGAGGCCTACTGCTTAATTAAATGACAGGTAGATACTGATAGTCTATTTCCAGGAAGAAAATTCTTTTAACATAGGAGAAAATTACTGTTGTTGGGAGCAAAAAGAGGAAGATCAAGACTTAGCCCAGAGGTCCTGGATTACATTCATGCCTATTAAATTATTCATTCCTTAAATATATGGAGTACCTAACAATACTAAAGGAAAGTTGTATCCAAAGCCATTAAATACAATGCGCTTGTAACAAATTATAACTATGCAAGTGATATCATGCATAAAGTTAACACCCCTAAAATGAAGAAAGATCTGAACACAATTACTTCCATATAAGCTCTCTAAAAGGGAAAATAATTTCACTCGTTAATAAAAGACATTCAAAGGGATACATACTGACAAAGTAGGAACATGGTATATGTAAGTCAAAAATATTACTCTGTAGAAAGAGGGGTACGTGTGTCCAAATATTATTTATTGGTATCATAGGTAGAATACAAATCATATCAAATACAAAAAACAGCCCCCACACAGGACAGATTAAAATCGCAGCCAAAGGATGATAGCTTAACAATCGTTTACTATGAAGTTAAATTGAGGTTTCCCATCTTTTCTAGATTTTCTCAATTGGGGGTGGTTTTGTACCCCACACAAAACACTTACTATCATGACTAGAAGGAACGTTTACTGGCGCTAGTGGGTGGAGGCTGCTAAAAATCCTACAATAAACAGGGTAGCTCTCCCACAACAAGAATTATCCAGGTCAAAATGTCCATAGGGCTCTTGTTACGAAACCCTGCTTTCCAATAACAAAGCCTGGTGTAGGTTGCACAGATTCTTACAATAATCTATAACTAATACACATACATCAACAATTACAATATCCAACTATGATATAGTTAGATCTGTCAAGAATACAGCCATGTCCAATTGCTACCCACTCCCACCCTTCCCCTCCTTCCTTCCCTACTACTCTTCTGATCCTTACTCCTCTTACACTTCTTTGATACCACCTTCCCATTCCAAAACCTCCAGTTCTTTTGAAAAATAGACACAGAAAACACTAACTTAATTATCTTGCCTGATGGCTAGAGTCGAGTCTAATATATGATCATGAAACTCGGCATTGTTTTGATTTAAAAATTTAAAAAGAAACTTGTCATCTCTTTCTAGAACTACCTCAGAAGGGTAGAGACGTGACCCATAACTCAATACAAAATATCATCCTGTATATTTCTAAACCATTATGAAAAATGTTTACTCATCAGCATAAGATGAGTTCTAAAAGTTCACTCCTTGTTTCTAAATAATCTTTGGATTCAGCTGTACTGACTAAACATCTACTAGCTTCCTCTTATTTAAGTCTCTTTTAAAACTCATTGTAATACTCTCACATTCAGAGAGCAAGTCCAACGTTAACCTATTTCTACTCTTCATACTTCATTCCCATACCCATCTTCCATACCAACTCAATGTGGCTGTCTGTTTGAAAGATGCCATTGAAGGTAATCATGTGTATATAAAAATCTGTAAAGATTTTGGAGATAGAAACAAAATTGAAGAGTGTCACAGACTGGTTTTTTCATAAAGGGATTTTATATATATTTTTTAAAAACCCATAAACAAATATATTATTATGCTATATAAAATTCTATTGAAAATATACAAATCTGTCCAGTCTCCCATGCGTCCAAATAGAAGTCAGAAATGTTTTCAATAAAATAATCTAACAGTAGTTTAAAATCTACTGGAAAAAAAAGATAAAGAAAAAAAGTTTAAAATTTACCGTATTATATGAGCTAGACCAGTGGCTTCTTTACAGAACTTTTAAAAAATTGTTTTAGGGCACTATACCTTCTTAAGGTTAGCATATACGCAATGCTTAATAATGCAGAAGAATTCACTCACCATTTCAGTGGTGTGCCTTCATATTCAAACCATATCTCACTAATGTCTTCTTGTCTCATAACCTTCTGAAAGTGCTTTTTCACTTTGTCAGTTACCAACGTCAAATAACTTACTCTTGGCAAAAGCAACTGAAATGAAAATTTGTAAAACCATATTTATTTACTATTTAAAAATATATACATACTAAATAGGTTTTTGAATTTTAAGGAAAAACAACCATGTTCTTTGCATTATTCTGAATATTCTGTACAAAGTCACTGCTTTCTATAATAAATCAAAGGCTAAAGGTTTTAAGATGTTTTAAAATTTCTTATGAGATCATTACTTTAAGTACAGATTATAGCATAAATGCCTAGAATAAACAACACAAATCTAAGTACATACTTTCCATAATAATTTTCTCCAAGTAAAAGAACAATGTAACCTGATGTCATACTATTTAGGATTCACTATTTCTTCTAAATTTAACTTAAAAATATAAGTCACCTGAGTTAATTAAACTGTTCTGAGAAGATAATCAACTCAGTCCTAATGTACACCTTTATTTGATCAATCAGGACTTCTCAACTGGTATCCTATGTTTTGGTAATCTACCATGTATTACATTAGTTGCAATAAAGAATAGCAATTTAAAGACATAATTTGCCCTTCCCTATATAGAGGTAAAACAGAGGTTAAAAAAAAAAGTATTGTTTAAGTTCTTACAAAAATATTAATGGAAGCAAAAATTCTTTAAAAGTCAAATAGAAATTTTCATTTGATGAACAACAGGGGCCCATGATGATACCATGAATAAAAGAATGGCATGTTAAAAAACAGCATTTGAAGAATATTCTAGCAGTTTTACATAAAAGACTGAATGAAAATTATAGACAATATATCTGTTAAGAAAATATTACATGAGGAGATGGAAAAGTGGGGAAGGTTAGGAAATCAGAATAGATTTTCATGATCATTAATGAAGAAATAAAAGATGTTTAAATTGACTTTTGAGCTACACATGTAAATCTTTAAAGCGCAATAAAGTAAAAGCTCAAGGTATAATGCTGGTAGCCTGGTGATCCTGCCACTGTCAATTAGCTCCTCAATCCTGTCCTCACGGAGGTCGGGCCTTGGAATTTGGAGAAAAAAGTCTGAGAGGGAACGCTGGGCTAGGTAAAGCCTCAATCGGATTACTGTAAAGACTGTCACTGTTTTTCTCCCCCAGGAAAGGTACTTAGAAAGAAAACACAGGAGAGCATTTTTGAAAGTTGGTTAGGAGATAAAAGGAGAAATCTGGCAAGAATTCATGAATTTTCCTCCTTGGCAATAGTCACTGAGGCCATTTCTAAGCTTCTGTTTTCTTTTGCTGGTAAAATTGTCCTGACACTCTTTTTCAGGTGCTTTTGTGAATCTAACTTTGCCTCATTTTTCATGCTGCTTATTCAAGGTTATGTCTTTTGATCAATAAATCAAGGACAACTACTGGCCTGGGGAATATATACAAAGAGAAATATTCCGGTTAAAAGAAGCGTTATATAATCACTAAAGCTCAAGATAACAGGCCTCAAGTAGGTAAGAGAACAGGACTGACCCAAAGGACTAGAGAAGATAAGGGTGTAGGAGGCGTGCTTCAGTATGGAACAGATGAGACTAAAACTACAAACAAGCTGTTGGGTAGTATTATGGATTCAACAAAACAGAAGTTCCCTTTTAAAAACAACCAGAACATGATTAGAAAGAAAAGAAAAAGGGAACTAACACTAGTATAAGAAAAAGCACTAGCTGTTTTACAGGAAGTATTATCATCACTATTTTATATACAGTTTAAATAACTTTCCAAGATCATATTCTATTACATAAATGGCAAAGAAAAGATTCATTAGAGTCAGAAAACAACAGCATCAGATACAGATGTAACATGGACAGTCTCTACGAAATTAAAACAGCATGGTAAATTGGCCATTAAAAAAATACATACATACATACATACAATCATTCTACCAGCTGAGTTAAGTTCTGTAAGTCTAGAACTTAAAAGCGTCTGTTGGACATTTAATAACAATAATCTGTAGAGAATGATATTAACCTACAGAGATTACAGAAGGAAGACACATTAGGACTAAGAAGTATGAACATCAGCTCCTGATTTCGGAGGGTGTTGTACTACATGTCCAGGGTTTCATCAAAGTTGCTGAAAAATTTACAAATGATTTTCATGAAACAAAAACTTCTTTATAATAAGGAAATGAGGAATATTAGAATGAATACTCCATTAAGACAGAAACATTTGTTTTGTTCACTGCTGCTTTCCCAGTGCCCCTCAAATTATAATACACATATAATAAATATTTGCTGAATGCATGAGAGATGCCAAAGAAACTGCAACAAAAGGCTAAAAATAATTAATAAAGAATGCCCCTCCTTAATATTCTGTGGTTGAAACTTTCTGTTCCAAATTAGCCTGTCGGATTAGTCTGTAACTGATATAAATACCTATAGTAGCTCTAAGAAATAACTCCAAGAATTAAGAATGTTAGGTACAATTTAGTAAATTTTAAATAAAGTATCTAGTAAATATTTAAACAGGTAAAAATGAAAAGAAAATAACAGCAAAAAGGCACCATCCTGCCTTATACATCCAGATTGTACCACTTGTTTTTCTTAGTTGTAGCTCATTGGTTTACTTTAAGTTCTTATTTTTAATCCTGGTATACCTAGCACAAAATTTACCATTTTAACCATTTTTAAGTGTACAGTTCAGTGGCATCAAATACATTCACTCTGTTGTGCAACCATTACCACTATCCATCTCCAGAACTTTTCATCATCTCAAACTCAAATTCTGTACATATTAAACAATAATTCCCCCATTTTTATCTTCCCCCTGGCCCTTAGTCATCACTTTTCTACTTGACTTAGACGATCCCAGGTAGCTCATATAAATGGATCGTAAAGTATCTGTCCTTTTGTTCCTGGCTTATTTCATTTCTACAAAAGTCTTCAAGGTTCTTTAAGTTCTTTTCCTATAAAAAGGATTAACCCCCTCTGGGGATACTGTCAATTATATGGAATCTAGAGTTCTCTTATTCCTCACTTAGCACTTGACAAATACTCAGTATGGCATAAGTGACTCATTTTCTTCTATAGAGCTTGTAAAGAGAATATAAGTTTTACATAGTTGTATAAGTTACTTATGTTTCTGAAAAAGATGCCTGCAATATTATTTGTTCATACTAAATATTATTTTTAACAATTTTCAATTATAAAATTGGAGATTTAGTTATTTAGAACAAAAATGGAATTAAAATATACTAGAATTCTGTTTCGTTTCAATGTGTGAGGCATCACACCAAGCATTAAGGATAGAGCACTGAATGAAACAGAAAGTTCTTCCTCTCATGGAGGTTATAGGCTGGAAGGAAGATAGTAAAGCAAAATTAAAAATGTGATGAATTCAAGGAGGAAGTAAAGAATGTTATAAGAACAAGTAGCAAAGGAACTTAACCTAACCTATGGCCTCAGGAAAGGCCTTGATAGGAAGTCTATTTTGAGGCAACGGTCAAAAAGGCAACCAAGGGTAAACCAAACATGGGCAGTATGGGTGTCTGGGAATAAGCAGAGTGAGAAATACTGCTACTCACTCATTCCAGACAGAGAAAACTGCAAAAAGGCATGGAGTGAATATAAAAAGACAAGCACATTTGAGGAACCCTACGAAGTTGAATAGGACAGGAGTGTAAAGGGCTGGGACAGAAGAGTATTAAAGAAGCAAAAGACCAAATTAGGAAGAACCTTGTAAACTACATTAAGGATCCTAAAGATGATGAAAAGCCACTAACAGTTTCAAGCAGGCAGGTGACATGATAAGACATGTGTTTTGAAAGTATATACCAACTGCAGGCTAGAAAATGGAAAGAAGACAGACTGAAACCAGGAAAATTAGTCAGTACTTATGCCACCCATCAGTTTTTAAATGGTGGTTTGAGGCAGGCTGGTAGCAGTGGGAATGAAAGGAATTGGGTAAGTTTGAGAGATATTTCAGATAAAAAAAAAAAATCAGATGGACTAAGTCAATGATCAAATAACAGGGATATGGGAAAAGGAAGCATCAAAGGGCGAGTCCCACATTAATTACTAGTAGGAGTAATTAATTAGCCAGATGATAGGTCTACTTGCTAAAACAGGAAGGAAATAAGAGAAGATGACTGGGTTGTCTGGGAGTAAAAATGACGAGACCAGTATCAAACACGCTCAGCTCCAATTCCTTGAAGACACCTAAGTGAGGGTATCCACCAGACAGACACATAGAGCTAGAGCTAGAAGTAAAATCTTGGGATCTGTCAAGACAAAAACTCTCAAGACATAAAAGTGGGTGAGAGGTCTATGGGGAAAAAGTGAAATGAAAAATAATAAAGGCAAAGCTCTGAAGAATGCCAACACTGAAGAACAAGCAAAGGAAGGGAACATGGCAAAGAGGACCACACATACACACAAACAGTCCATAAAGGCAGAAGCAAAACCAGAATATTAGACACTGTGGATCAAGAGAGAACAGAACCACAAAATGGATAATACTGTCAATAATTCATTCAAGCAAATGAAAATTCAAAAAGAGACTCTTGGTTTGGCAAAAAAGATGTCATTAGTGACTATGGCAGGAACATTCTGTTGCAGTAGTCAAAATGTAATCACAGCGAAGTAAGCTGTGGGAGGCGAGGATGAGACAATGAATACAGACTACCTTTAAGAAGTCTGGCTGTGAAGGGAAAGCAAGAAGTTGAAAGAGATGGGTCAACAGGGGGGTGTTTTAGAATAGGAAAGATTTAAAACAATATAAATGCTGAAAAACAGCAGTCAGCTTTTAGTTAGAAGTTGAGAGTAAAATAAGCAGAGAAGGCCGCAGTGGGAATGTGAGACCATCAGCACCACCAACTTCCTGAGAAGGCAAGAGAGGGGATCCAGAACACAGATGGAAGACTGGGCCTTGCCTAGGAGGGAGGATACCTTTGCCGCTAAAACAGGAGAGGAGAAGAAAACATGTGAGTGCAAACAGGATTTGCAGACTTGGTGGCAGAAAATTAAGGGAGGTCCTATCATAGGCTTTCTATTTTCTTTGTGAAGCAGGGAGTGAGGTCACCTGTTAAGACTGAAAGATGGTATCAGGGCTCAAAGAATAGATATAAAGAAGAACAGAGACACCTGACTAAGGAAACATAAAAGGACTGCTGGGTAATGTTCAGGGTCCACTCGGATTGATAGCCCTGTGTCTGATTGTGTGATTTCCTCTGGTAACAAGTCTCTAAATGAGTAAGTATGTTTTTACATTGGATAATCTAAATGAAAAGCAACAGTTTAAATGAATACAACAGACCAAAAACTGAAAAGCTGCCTAGTTTCTAACAAATTTCCTTCCTAACATTCCCTGCCCAACAGGATATAATACTTAATGAAAGGATGTAGGCTGAAAGATTTATGCCAAGACAATAAATTAAAATGCAGAAATAAACAAAATTAACATTAATAGGCTTTTACAGCCCTAGCCAGGTGGCTCAGTTGATTGGAGCATCATCCCATAGACCAAAAGATTGTGGGTTTGATACCCCATCAGGGCACATGCCTAGGTTGTGGTTTCAATCCCTGGTCAGGGAGGTCAGGGTGCATACAGAAGGCAACTGATCTATGTTTCTCACAGCGATGTTTCTTTCTCTCTCTCTCTCTCCCCCTCCCACCTCCCTCCTTCCTCACCCCCTCCCACTTCTCTAAAAATCACACTCACGTGAGGATTTAAAAAAATGGAAACAAAATTCCAGAAGACTCTATGAATAATTACTAAATGTATAAGTTTTATATGAGTAGACACTTTAAAATCTAGTTCCTAAGAAATAAGCTACAAGCATTATAAAAGTAAACTACATCCCCACTCACCTACCCTTATTGCACCTCAACACAAACAAACTTTTCACACCACAGTGACAACCCTGAGCTTTGAGAATGTCTGGGGAAGAGGTATACTGGCTCTCAGGCCATGACATTTATACCTCATTTCATCCAGAATCTTTAAAACATTACTATAAACCAAGCAATTAGATATGTTTTCAAGCTTTACAACCAAGACATATGTGAACTAAAACCACATGGACATTAAAATGATCACCTATAATTCTAAGACTAACCAAAGCTAATGTTTTTGTATATTTTCCTCCTGTACATATTAACTTACACCAAGTGTAGTGTATGTGCATTCAGCAAAATCTGGAGTATGCTACATGATGTTAAACCCTAGTTTTTGTTTAATATTTACTGAATGCCCATTATCCCATGTTCTTCAAAAACTTAATCATAATCACTTTAAGTTTCTTTTGGGTGAAAAGTTAGGAAGAATTCAAGTAAAAAACAACTACTTATTAGATAAAACAGCCCTCTCCCTCCTACCTTCTGCAACTTTCAATTCAATCAGAAATAGCTAGAAACAGCTAGAAAGCAACTTACATTCTAGTTCTCACAAGTCTTTTCATACTTAAACATATTTATATATAAAGAAAAAAATATTGTATTCTTTACTTGAATTTTTAACTGCAGGAAGTGTGTCAAACACCATATTCTGATTCAAAAGTAAACACACTTAAATTATACATTTCTCAGTTTTTGCCACTTTGACCAATTAGAAACATACATTTCTTTGTTTAGATACTATTAGAAAGCTACCCAAGGTTAAAAGTTTTAATTAAAATAGAAAAGCCTAGCATGGAAACAAAATATAAATGATATCCTGAAACCCCTCCTAGAGAAGTAGAGAAAAAAATACATTTAACAAATAAAATTCTTCTAAAAATAAACTATGGCCACATTTTGTTTTCAACTACAGAAGTTTTTCTAAAAGCAAGAAAGAAAACTGTTGAGATTTCTAGAAACCTGACTTCCCACAGCTCACGCAGGTTCAAGAGCCTTGCTGCTCCCAAAGAGGCAAGGGAGAACGCAAAGGGCAAGCTTTATTGAGGTGAAGCAAGAAAGAGTCCAGCAGCACAAATACATTTCCCACTTTTCCAGATTATCATGGGTAAATGGTATTATGTATACCTGAGACACACACACATCAAAAAAACTCCAATGACAAACAAGAATGCCTTTGTCTATTAGGGGCTGTTCAATAAACAGGCAGGATACTATTATTTCTGACAGATGCTTAAGTTTGGATTGTATGTGCACTCAGAAAAAGAATAAAGAAAAAAAGAAACTAAATTGAGAAGGTATTTGGTATTCTTTTTTAGAAATGGTAATATACTAACTCAAACCTATGAGTCTATATACAGCAATTTGTTATTAAATAATATATTTTATATAATACATATTAGCTTACTGACATATGAAAACATATATATGTTCATATGTTCACTGAGCTACAATAAAGAATTTGTCAAATAGTTGCTTGGAAGCACCTAAAGACAAAAGAATCAAATCTGAACTTATTATTTTTAAAATAGCTTCCTGTTAAAAAACAGAACATAACTTATGATTCTATCATATATATATATAGGGGGATTTTTAAAAATATATATTTATGTGCCTAAGAAAAAGAATATCAAGAATGACCAAGGAAGTCTCAATCTGTCAAAAGTGCTTTTTCCCTCTGGGTGATAAGAATATAGGTATTTTAATTTCATTTTTTTTTGATGATCTGCGTTTTCTAATTTTCCATAATAAGCATGTACTAATTGCATATAAAATGTGGGATAACAGCCTCTAAGTTCTTAGAGCTTTATTTACAAAAAGGAACAAAGTTAGATATCCCATTTGCCACCATCAACACACTTACATAATATGGTTCTGCCTCCCGTTCAGTTATCTCATCCTGATACAGGGTGAAGCAAGTCGGAATTCGTCCAAACCACACATCTCGAAGCACATCTTTGTCATCTGTCATTCTTCCAGTGGTTAAAGCAGTACATATAGGCTAAATTCTTTTTTCAACCAAAGCCAAACTGAAAATAAAATGAAGAGCATTAATCAAATCCTTGCAATGAGGAATTCACCTGCTCCACAACAAAGATTATATTTAAAAAATGCCAAAATCAGTACAACAAATTCTAAATGCAGGGCTATTATTTATTTGAAGGGATCATAGAAGTAACCAATTCAAAATTATGCATGCTAAATAATGAACCACAGCCAAAGTGAAACTGGAGATGCATCATTCTCTCAAGCCTTCTCTAAAGTGAATTTTTCATTTATGCCCTATGGTCCCTTAAAGTCCAACTACAAAGTAATCATCCCCACAATTATCCCTGCCCCAGAGTATACACTCTACTAGTTCAAATAGTTCAGACTCTTTTCCAGGAAAACACACACATACACCTTATGGGGGCAGGGAGGGTGGAATCTTTGTGCGAACCTATTCTCATTCTAAATTTTATTGTGCCCATGATTTGATTCCACCAATATTTCCAATCTTGTTTACTACATTTCTTTTGAAACCCTGTAGTAAAACTGGCCCCTTAAAGCCTTGTTCTGTCCTACCACCCTCTCATGACTAGTATGCTTTTCTCTCATCTGTTCAAATCCTACCTAGACTGCAAACCTCGCTCACAATCCTCTGACCCAACTGAAATAGTAAAAGTCATACTGTGAATGCAGAATATTCCCTATACCACAAAAATAGCACTAAATCTGCCAACTGAAGTATTCTGGATATGGTAGAAGGACATGGCTTTTGACCTCTGTAATATCCAAGTGACTTTCAGTACCAATATTCTATAACTAGATAATACCACAATATACTGTATGAGTAAATGCTGAAATAAATATTGCTGGTTCCGAGTACTGGGATTCAATAGCCTTCTACACACATGTATTTGTGTGTGTGTGTATATTTCCTATCTTTCATAGGCTAATTAATTCATAATTTATCATACCATATCCTGTAGAAACAATTTAAATAATCACATTAGTTTAGCCAAATATGAACTATGAACACTGAATTATTCAAGGAGCTTTTCTCTTCCAGTGACCAACACCAAATACATCAAACCTGCCATAAGTTAATTAACCCAAGAGAGAAAAACTCAAGTTCTAAATTTGCACCACTATACTTAAATGCACCTCTGAGGTCAACTGGATACAATGTCATCTATAGGTAAATAAATGGAAAGAGGTGAAAAAATCTGCCCAAGAAGAGCACTAATTAAGTCAAACCATGATAAGAGCTCTGGTCACTTGAACTGAGTCCAGTGCTCTTTCCAGCACACCAGTGTTTCAACTTCTTTAAAATATATCCATAAACAAAACTGAACTCAGGAGAGGCGCTATGATGTGGGGGTTCAAAATGTAGAATATGAATACGGATCACTGGGACTCAAAACCTAGCTCCACCATTTACTATGTCACCTCAAATAAGTCACTTAACTTATCTCAGTTTTCTCATCTGTAAAAGGAGAATAACAGCACTTACCACATAAAACATATAAAATTAATACATGTAAAGTACTTAGAGCAATTTCTATAATATAGTACTATAAAGCATATCGATCACAAAATTTACAGAACAGGAAGAGTATGTCTCAAAAAATGTTTAAAATTCATGAAGACTTCGAGAACTGAAAATAATCAAAAGCATTGTATAATGTAAGCAGGAATTATAAAAGTAAAGGAAAGTAACGGAAAATTACTTTTACTTTTCTTAACGGAACACTGCATAAATAATCAACATAAAGTTAATAAATATTTGATCATTTGATATGCCCAACTCTGTGGCAGATGCTGAGGGCACATACGATGATAATAATGGTGATAACAACTTTTTAAAAAGCTTAAACGTTGCTCAGAAGGCAATATATCTAACTCTACTAAACAAACCATGCATGCTCATGTCCTTTCCATAGCTATGCTCATACTGGAGGTTCTTTACCCTAAAGTAGCCTTTTCCACTGTATCTTTCAAACTTAGACATACTTCAAGACCAGCACAAATACCCTTTCTTCAATGCATGACTCAAGCAGGATCTGTTTCCTCACTGCACCTTTACTTTCCTCTACTATAGCACTTGTAATCTTACAGTAAAGATTTTTCATCTGATTTCCAATGTCATATTCTCTCCATCATACCATAATAATAGTCAACATACTTTCCAACCCCAAAATGTCCATGGTTATAATGAAATGTTACTTTTAGAATGCTTTCATAAGGAAAGGAGAGATGGGAAGAAGTAAAATATTAATATATCCTATAGTGTTCAGGGAAGTATTTTAAAAGATATGGAAACGGAAGAATGGGTAGAATACAGACAGGCAAAAAGAGAAGATGACAAATATTCCACTCAGGGCAAACTAACATTGACAAAGACAGGAAATGAGCAGAAGCAATATGTGTGCAGACATTTTAGGAAGTTCTGAGTTGGGAGAAGTAGACAATGAAAGAGCCGACATTGTGAAAAGTCTTAATATCACACGGAGATCCTAGGTAAATCATTTCACTAAGCCTCAATTTCCTTATCTGTAAAATTCACCAAGCTATTCTGGGGAAAAAAGATGTAAAAAGGTGTTTGATGTGGTACTGGACACATACTAAGTGATAAGAAATAAGAGAAACTATTCTTTTAATGTCAAATGTGTAAATGTAAACTGAGACTAGATCATGAAACATACTAAATGGAGTATTGTGGGTTCTCAACTTCATCCAATAAGTCTGAGAGCCTATGAAGTTTTATAATGAAGTAAAAGCAACTGGTAGCAGTGCACAAAAGGAGATCCCAAGTCATACATAATATAGCCAGGAAGCAATTTCAGCAACTAAGGCATATAACAATGAGTGCCTGACCTACACTGGTTGCAGTGGAATGAGAGACAGATAAGAGGTCTTTCCAGGCAAGAATGAATAGAAGATGGTGAAAACTGGCTGCGGGACCAAGAACAGGACAGGGAAGATTTCAATGCTGACAGCAGGCAACAGAGCAAGGTAGGTAGTTAAGGGGCTTTGAGATCAGATTGACATGCGTTAAACTCTGACTTCGTCCTATAAGCGGTGTGCCCTTGGACAACAAATCTGACATATCTGAACCTCATATCTGTAAACTGAAGATAATTTTAATTTCAGAGGGCTTTGGGGGGTTTAGAACCTGGTTACCACTCAATAAATGGTATATGTATTTAATATATCATTTCTTTGTACTTCCATGGACCGTCTGCTTGAACATCCTTTCCCTCTTCTTTTGCCAAACTCTTAATCCTCTTTTAAGAGTCAGCTTAACATCAGCTCCCTGAGAAGCTTTCCACTAAGCAACCGCCAATCTAATTACTTCTTTAATAGCATGTTATAACCATGCATTGCAGTTATGTTTATCTTATCTGTCTCTTGCCTCTCCCCACACTGGAGTGAGAGTTCCTTGACAGCAGAAACTAGATACCTTTGTATTCCCAGCTCTGTGGCAATTAGCATAATTGGCACACAGCAGGCCCTGGTATTTTTGTTGAACTGGAAAATATATATAAATCCACAAATCCAAGTTATACTAGCTACTTAAGAAACTTTTCTACCTAATCACACTTTAAATTCACCTTATTTCCTAATTTTGGAAAAACACTTTCCCCTCTTATACATACACTACACTGTCATCATCATGAATCCAATTTGAAGGCAATGTTCTAGAAGCACAGAAATCCCAATCCATGACGCAGTCTACTACAAGTAAGGCTCTCCAGGGGCTACTTCTTGATTGCTGTATTCTCTACATCTAATTCAGGGCATGAAACAGAGCAGGTGCTCACCCAACAACAAATAGCATAGAGAATATGATAAAAATAGAATGCACAATTAACAGCCCATTTCACACTACAAACCAAGAAAGGCTAACCAACTATTGCCCGAAGCTATTTTGCTGACAAAATCCCTAACTACCTAGAAATTACTTAAAATATCAAATGCCTACTAGTAGTAAACCTATAAACATCTAAAAATAGTAATGTATGCTGGCTAATCTCCCTTTAAATTCATGAGTACTAACCTCAAAAGTGGGACCTCGCCCTGACCAGTGTGGTTCTCATTTGGTTTAGCATCGTCCCACAAGCAGTTCGATTCCCTGTCAGGGCACATGCCTGGGCTGTGGCCCAGTTCCCAATTGGGGTGCATGCAGGAGGCAACTGATCGATGTTCCTCCTTCTCCCTCCCTTCCCTTCTCTCTCAAAGTAAATACATAAAATCTTTTTTTTTTTAAAAGGGGGCCCTGAGTACTGCCAGGGTTCCTACATTTCCCTAGTCCATTTATTCTCCCACTGTCCTAGATCACCGCTACATATCTTCTCTCCTCAAATTTTCACATCTCCTTCCTCACTCTCTCCTAGCTAAGGACTGGGCCTGTTTTCTTCTACCTTATCACTACAAGTCAGTGGTTCTCAACAGGATTTTACTGAACAGCTCCACCCTACCCTGGGGAATACATAGTTCAAAAAAATTTCACCTACAGCCAAATGTTGAAGGTCCCAGGGCTCAGCCCTTGAACCACGCCTTTGGAACCACGCCATGGCTTTAAATATCACTTACCCATTAACAATTTCCACATTTATTTCTTCAGCTCAGACTTCTCTTCTGAATTACAGTTTCATATATACTACTGTGTATTGACATTTCATTAAAAAATTTAGCATGTTGCAAAACTGAAAAATTTCAGATGGCCTTTCTCCTCTATTACTCTGTGGTCTTCTTCAAATCACTAAGTGCTAATTCTGTTTCTTTGGTGGATCAGGCTCTGATCTTTGGAGTCATCGTTGACACCCTGTTCACATCTGATGGCTCTAAGCTAGACACAAGTCAAAAACATCTGCCATTTCTCACAACCTCCACTGTTAGAACCAATCCAAGTCACCATGACCTTTAACCTGGATAAATGCAAAAGCCTACTAATAGGTGTGATTTCTGCCCTTGCTGCAGACAGACAACATAGCAATCAGAAAGATCCTTTAAAACAAAAATCAGATCAGTTTATTCTCATTCAAAGTGAAAAGTTCTTGCAGAGTCCTACAAGGCCATAAATGACTTGGCCCCCTTCTGACCTGATGACAGTCAGTCATATTTCAGTACTCGTGAGGTTCAGAACTTGTCAAACCCTTTATTCGTCACATTTTGATGACAAAAAAATGTTCAGCACTCAGCACTTGCTCGGACTCGTCACAAGTTGCCAGAACTTGTATGAGTCACCACACTGCCCCACAAGACATAATACCCCACAAGAGAAAATACTTCAGAGTTTAGTACTTGTTTTTGATACCTGGAACTAAGGATTAAGTACCAAGGTACCAGGGTACTCATTTCTCTCCCCCCTGGCTCACTCAGTTCCAGCCAAACTAACTGGTATACTCCTACCTCAGGGACTTTGTGGTTGCTTTAATGGCTCTTTCCACTACATCCATTTTGCACCCTTCTTTACCACTTTTAGGTCTTTGCTCAAATATCATCTCTTCTAAGGCTACTACTGCATTTTCCTATACACTCCACTACCATGCCCTTCATTGCTGTATTTTTTTCTCTCTAGCACTTCTCACCACCTACTATCTTCTTCCCCTACCCCCAAGGTGAACTTCATGATGGCAGGGGTTTTTATTGTTCTGTTCATTGTTGTTTTGTTTATTTTTTGCTCAGTGCCTGGTACATAACAGGCACACGGTATTTGTTAACTTAATAAAGCTAACCAACATTTTAATTGTATATGTTTTCTATGTTATTCTAAAAACTTATATCCATGTAATAAATACCATTCTGTTCATTTTCCCCAATTTTAACCAGTATAACTTTAAGGATCAATGCACATGCTGAAATCTAGTGCAAAATTCTAAAATACTCCTCAACTACTACCCTCAGCCCAACATCTTTACTGTCAAATTCAAAATTCAACCAATAACCCCTTCTATAAAAATCACAAATAATTCAGTTCAGATCAAAGTACCCCCAGTCCCCAAAACTTTGTGATTTTCCAAGTGACTTCTGAAAGGCCTTTAAGTTTCTTGCTATACTATAATCGCTGGACTCTGATTCTTGCTGAAGACCTGCTGTGCCTCCCCACTCTTCAGAAAAATCTAGAACCAATCCAGTTTTCCTAGGTTCCTCAATTTCACGTATGATTTGAAAATAACCCAAAGTATAATTAAAGTACGTAAAAATAACACTAAATGTTATTAAAATGATACTGAATGAATACCGTTGAGAAGACAAACTGGAGAACATATCCACCAAATTCAGATAGAATTGAACAGCCTGAGAAAAAAATGATTTAAATAAATGTTCCACAAAAAAACGCACGTTCTGAACTATACTCTAGAGCCTGGGCTTCCTTTCTTAGTTATGAACAGACATATTCCCCGAAAGAAACCGCACAGACTACACCCTCCGGCCAGCCCACGGGATCCGGGGGCGACGTCTAGCCAGCCCCACCTCCCCCAGAGAACCACCTTCACCTGCCACCACCGCCCGGGGGAGCGCTCTTCCAGCCCAACACTCGCCCCTCCTTCTTACCACACCTGCCTGGCACCTCCCCAACCCTCCTCCTTCGTTCATTTCCTCACTCCGTTGGGAACACACACACACGAATACCCTACCAGAAACACCGGCTCCTCCTTCGGCTTCCCAGACTGTTGAAGAGGATCGAGTCCCCGGCTCTAGACGGACAGCGGCGCAGGGCTTGACACACTGTCCCGCAGAGACGCGTGAGCCAGAAGTCTCCAAAGCCCGCGCAGCCGCAGACCGTACCGGCGCGGTGGTGGGAGCCAAACCCTGCTGCACTTCCGCCCGCCGGTATCCAGCAAATACAACCCGGAGCGCCGCCGCGGAACCCTGGAAGCCCACCCCAAGTCCAGTCACCCTCGGCGCCCGGAGATGACGTCAGGGGACCCCACGTGGTCTGTACTCCACCTTCCGAGAACGATCCAACCTCGCGAGGAGGCCGGAGCCACTCTTGAGCATGCGCAGACGAGCGGAGCCGCCTCTTTTGAGTGTGGGATCCAACACTTGGCAAGTTCACAACACCTTTTAAGAAATTCTGGTGTCTTTCGCGTAGTCATCGGTGTTTGAGGAGGGTAATGTAACGGTTTTATAAAAGCAGATAGTTTTAAAAATACTCAGACACTGCTGCACTGGAGCTTATTGCAGCATCCCTCTCCTGCCTTTGCAGAATAATTTTAATAAAATGTTTGTTTTTAAAGTGTGTTTTTTTAAGCTATCGATACATCCTTCTTCCTCATTTTGTATACACCACTCATTCCTCATGACTCAGTTCAGATGTTGGAACAGTTTCCCTGATCCACCCACGCCATTTGAGTTAGGTTCTCTTCATAGTTTCCCCAAACATTTTTTGAATCCTCCACGCCAGCATGCAGTAAATGTTGAAATAAACTAAGCTGAACATGAGCTTTCTTCCATGATTCCTATAACTTTAACCTTAGGGATCAAATTCTTCCTCAGAGCTTAGAGTTTAAGCAGAAAATAGTGGTTTCCTTTCCTATTTCGTCAGTTTCAAAATTATCACCAAGGAAAGTTGAACGTGATTGAGGTACATCGCTATTAACCAGGTGGGAGTCCTGCAGTCGCCCGGCAGTCAAGAGCCTCCAACACTACTGCGTTCTGTCTCGAAGCCAGTACTGTGCTCTGGGTGAGGAAGGCATTGTTTCCAACTGCCCGTACACTCCACATTATATTCCCAGGACAAAATCACATTCCTGTTCTATTCTTTTATCCTTACTCAAATGACTCCTCTCAAATGATGCTAGAATGGAAATTCCTAAAAATCAGGCATGAATTTCTAGATATAAAAGGCTGCAGATTGGAGCTCTACAGGCCAGAACTAGGCTACTGGTATGACACTGTAATACACTCAGACCTCCTGTGGCATACGCGTTGTGATATTATGCACATACTAATTTCAGCTTCAATTCTAGTTACCCTAACTGAGAATTCCATGCTCCAGAGGTGATAAACATCAGAAAGACCACACTCCAGAAGCAGCTATCACAAGGTCCTCTGATACCACTACCTTGATCCCTATCTCACGGTTTGCTGATTAGCATAGTGAATGTCAGAGATAGGGTTTTAATTTTGGCTTGCTCAAAAGTATGATAAATGTTAGAAATGGGATTTCATTTACTAAATTAGAAGTATTTAAGATGTGTGGATTGACTATAATATTTTAGAGATTCTTGCCACCCTTGACGATAGAGTAGAGGAATTTATGAAGCCTGCAGCTCAATCCCTGAATTTTCTTGTCCTTTAGAGATGTTACAGAATTCAGCCTCAGGAATGATGTTTCTTCTGCCTTAAAAGAACCTTTCTTTCACGGAGACAGTGAAAGCACCTTAAATGGCAGAGTTGGGGGTGGGGGGGTTCTCATTAAGCTTATAGACAATGTTGTATGAACTGTTTTGTTTGATAAATATCTATGTGTATCAGAATTTGGTTTAAGATTGGCTTCCATTATAATCTCATATCCCGATTACGGAGAAGTAACTAATCTTCACCTCAATTTCTTTGCGGCTGTGGTAATCTATTGAAAAGAATTGAGAGTTATACATGATGAAATTAGTCTTGGTCAGTTAGCAAAATTGGCAGATAAACAGTTGATCCTTGAACAACAGAAGGGTTAGGGGTGCCAACCCCTGGGCAGTCTAAAACCTGCATAAAACTTTTGACTCCCCCACCCCAAAAAATATTAACTACTAATTGCCTACCATTTACTGGAAGCTTTACAGATAAGACAAATAATTCACTAACACATGTTTTGTATGTTACATATATAATATGCTGTATTCTTACAATAAAGTAAGCTCGAGAAAAGAAAATGTTAAGAAAATCATAACAAAGAGAAAATACACTTACCATATTTATTGAAAAAAATCCTTGTACAAGTGGACCTACCACAGTTCAAAGTTGTATTGTTCAAAGTTGTATTCTCTTTGCCCCTTAAAATATTTTTAAAATTCTAAAAAAAAAGTGTTTTAATTGTTGTTCGAGTACAGTTGTCTCCATTTCCCCACCCCACCACTTTTTTCTGCCCCACCCATCCCCACCTCCCCCCCTCAATCCTACCCCGCTTTGGCTTTGTCCATGGGTCCTTTATACATGTTCCTTGACGACCCTTCCCCTTCTTTCCCCCATTATCCTCCTCCCCGCTCCCCTCCGGTTACTGTCAGTTTGTTCTTTATTTCAATGTCTCTGGTTATATGTTGCTTGCTTGTTTGTTTTGTTGATTAGATTCCACTTATGGGTGAGATCATATGGTATTTGACTTTCACCCCTGGCTTATTTCATTTAGCATAATGCTCTCCAGTTCCATCCGTGCTTTCACAAAGGTTAGGAGTCCTTTCTTTCTTCCTTTCTGTTGCGTAGTATTCCATTCCGTAGATGTACCAATGTGCTATAGTTTTTGATCCACTCCTTTACTGATGGGCATTTAGGTTGCTTCTAACACTTGGCTGTTGTAAATTGTGTTGCTATGAACACTGAAGTGCATAGGTCCTTTTGAAATGGTGTTTTAGGATTTTTAGGCATCACTAACCATCAGAGAGATGCAAATTAAAATTCTAAAAAAATTTAAATGGTAACATTTCACAAAATTCAGATTTCTGGCTTCCCTTGGAATCTGACAATCCTGGGCCCACATGACCACACAGCAACTATGTGCCGTGTGGAGTAGAGAAGCAGCTGCCCCCTTTTAGGCTCGGCATGCCCTCTACAGTTTACTACTGTCCCCACAGTATCACTTATTTGGACATAAAATTACCTACCTGGACACAAGAGGTATTGGAGCTTAACACTCCTGTATAGCTCTTCATATTTCTAATGTACTGCCTATGTTCTTTGCACATAGATATTAATGGTGAACAAAAGATCAAAACAACCAGTCCAGAGGGCATTATTCTGAGGAGTTTAATGCACATTTGATTGTGATTATGATATATTTATGGTCCTAAGATTTTACTTTTAAGGAAGTCTAAGAACACATGCTTGAAAGTTGAGAAAGTATCATTATATATGGTATCATCATTAGTGTTTTCTCCTTGAAGTAATAGAACATTTAGAGGATCCAAATATTATATTGAGACTTTCCATGCTTAACAGTCATAAGAATTCCATTTGTATCTATTTAATTGGCATTCTAAAGTCAATCCAGAAGCTGGGTAGATAGATTCTTTTAGCTTCAATGTTAGCCTTTTATTCACTTTGTTATTCATTCATTTAATTATTTCTTGAGTTCAAATATTATGTCTATCATAAAGTGAAAATAGCTCTTATACAACAGGAAAGAAACCCCAAAATTTAAATAGACGTTTTATTTTTCATAACAGTAATTCCTTTTTTTTATTTATTGATTTGTGTGTGTGTAGGAGAGAGAGAGATTTCTTGTCCCATTTATTTATTTATGCATTTTTGGTTGACTCTTGCAAGTGCCCTGTCCAGGGATGTAAATTTGGTGTATCGGGAGGACATTCTAACTGACTGAGCTACCCGGCCAGGGCTTAAATAAGTATTTTAAAATCACAATTTGAAACACTTTCCCTACGACAATCATGCATTGTACTTTATGTAATTCTATCACTGCTACCAATAAAATGTGTGTTTCTATTGAAAAATTGTGTTCAGTTACTCAGAACTTTTTATCTTCTTGTCTACACAGATGGATTCTCTCAGAGCGGATTAAAACAATATACCAAATATCCTTTGGAAATATATATATTCATAACTCTTATGCCTCTGTGTTTCAATTTTTGATTCCATAAATATAATTCTAAAATTTTTTGAATTTGATGATTTTACTCTTCCCATATGAATATTTTTGTACAAAGAGCTCTTATTAAAAACTGGGACAAATCAGTCAGGAAGAAAAATAGTCTGGGAAGCATAAAAATTAAGACAAAGTCTTTTTATTTTATTTTAAATATATTTTATTGATTATGCTATTACCATTGTCCCAATTTTTCTCCCTTTCCCCCCGCACCCAGCACCCCCATCCTCTCCAGCAACCCCCTCCCCGCCTCAGTTCATGTCCATGGGTCCTGCATATAACTTCTTTGGCTTCTCCATTTCCTATACTATTCTTAACCTCCCCCATCTATCTTGTACCTACTAATTTATGCTTCTTAATCCCTACACCTTTCCCCCCATTTTTCCCTTTCCTCCTCCCAGCTGATAACCTCCCCCCCTCAAATGATTTCCATATCTATGATTCTGTTCCTGTTCTGGTTATTTGCTTAGTTTGTTTTTAGATTCAGTTGTTGATAGTTGTGAATTTATTGTCATTTTAATATTCATAGTTTTGATTTTTTTTCTTAAATAAATCCCTTTAACATTTCACATAATAATGTTTTGGTGATGATGAACTCCTTTAGCTTTCCTTTGGGAAGCACTGTCTCTGCCCCTCCATTCTAAATGATAGCTTTCCTGGATAGAGTCATCTTGGCTGTAGGTCCTTGCTTTTCATCACTTTGAATACTTCTTGCCAGTCCCTTCTAGCCTGAAAAGTTTATTTTGAGAAATCAGCTAACAATGCCTCCATCTTGACTGAAGTCCCCCGAAGTCTTTAAAAAAAATCCCACAAAACCCAACAGCATGAATCTTGAAACACCAAAATAAATCCTTGCAATAACATGTTGTTGTCACCAGATGTCACAAAAGACCTGATGCAAAGCTTAGCTCTCCCAGCCAATAAGGCCAGTTACCAGCACCCTCAATGAAGTAACAATGTTTCCCAATAGGAAAACTCTGGTTACCTCAAGAGAGCCTGAAGAAATATCAAAACAAAACTATTTCGTTTGGAAAATAAAACCCACTTTCTAAACCTTTTCAATACTGATAAAATCTCTTTCAAATTCATTTTCTTCCCCTTCATACT